GCATTATCTCTTCCACCTGTCTGTCTCGCTCTTGCGCTTCCTGCTAGAGCGCCCCCTGGAGGACGTTAGCCCGTAAAAATCTATAGATTAGCCCCGCATCATTGTTTAAGCCGCAGGGTTCAAAGTGTGTGAAAAAAGTAGCGGCTTATAGTCCGGAAGTTATGGTAATTGTCAATGCTGTTCAGGTAAGGGTAAACAGTATGTCTGATTTGATATGAAATTAGCAGCCGAGTGTCTAAATTAAAGATGTAACTTTAAACATTAAATAAGTAACTGTTTCTTTAATTCTGTTGAGGTAGAGACATTCATGGGCCAATCTTGGGACCCACTGGCTATCGTCTGATGAAGATTTAGCCTCTGGGGGCAGCAACCAATGTTTTGGGGCTTTCAGTGTAGCCAGCGGATATCCAGAAAAAGGGATATTAGATTTGGCTAATCTGTATAAACATATCTGCATACATTTAGTAAAAAGCTATTTAAAACTATTTAAAAGCTAAATCATCGTCAGATAGATTGCATTCTGGTTAATGCGTTCCACCTCTTTTAGCTGCCCACACAGACTGTTACCTGTAGGCAACCAAAGCCGCCAAAAAATGTAATTGGTCAATACTTATCAGACTACAAATGGAAACCAGAACCTTTCTGATGCCAAAATCTTGGTCCCTTCCCTACAGATTCTGCATTCATGTGCAGCAGTCCGTTTATAGGCATCATTCATGGTCTGATAAGTATATTCCAAAAGTCAATAATTGTCAGCAAAAGAAAATTAAAATTATGTGCACAAGCTGGCAAATGTAGATACATTTTGTCACCAGACCGAGAAGAGTGCAGTTGACATCTTATAAGTATCCAAGATTGTGCTGAAATGATTCTTGGGAGCTTTATGATCTGTGTATAAATACCACTTGGCATTTTGCTTAAAAAAAGTAACTATGTATTCATTAATAATTGTACTGAGAAAGAAAAACACTTGTTGGTAAGCAGGTATGGAGAATAGGCTGAATAGATGTTACCACCTAGTGCTGCAGGTGGTTTGGGCTTTGTAAAGAACCCATCAATCATCTATGACGTTTCCATCAGATCCACCGGACATACAATGCAGAGACCATTTTTCAGTGTAACCTAAGCACATTCTCTCTTTCTATCCTATTTCTTCTCCAGATGTAAATGACAACGTCCCATTTTTCACTTCGTCCATCTATGAGGCCTCAGTCACTGAAGGAGCAGAATCAGGAACTTTGGTTTTCCAGGTTTCAGCCAATGACCTCGACTTGGGTCTCAATGGCAAGGTAAAAACATACTCACACATGCACAAAACCTATGGTAGAAGTGCTAATGTTGATCTTACAGCGTGCACAGTGGAAAGGGATGTTAAGAGCTCAGTTCCTTTTGAATATATGCACTGTCATTTTCAGACTCGCTCTGTTTTTGATTTTTCAAAATATGTTCTTTTTTGCTGTGTACATTAATTAAGTAATTAACTGTGTTTTAGCACCTGAACCTCTGTATAATTAATTCTACACCAAATCCCCCATTGCCCAGATCTCCTACTCCTTGTTAGAGGATCGCAGTGGGGACCATCAGTATTTCCGTATTGACCCAGAGCTGGGATTCATCTACACTCAGACTGTATTTGACCGCGAGACTAAAAGCTCATACCTGTTGGAGGTTCAGTCTGTCGATGGCTGGGAGTCGGCACGGCCTGGCAAACATGGACAGCCCAATTCTGGTAAGTCTACTACTGCTCAAAACAGCCTGCGACTGAATTGATGGTTAAGTTCTGATTGCTGTGGTGTTTTTGCAGTTTGTCCAGTATTGTTCTGTCTTGTGCCTGAGTGTTAAGAACAGCAATTGTACAAGTTGTCATGAACTGCCACTGTGTTATAACAGTCAGCGATAAAGAGAAGCTTCAGTACATAGTGTTTTTCCCTGTACTCCAAAACTATGTAACAAAATCTTACAAAAAGGTGACTCACTTCTACACAAAGTATGTGGACACGTGAACATCACACCCATATGATTGTTCTTATTAAACTGCTCCCCCACTCCTCTAGGGGAAGGCTTTTCATCTGACTTTGGAACCTGTCATCAGGAATTTGCCCCCATTCAGCTGCAAGAGTGATGTTAGTTGGTGAGGTCTGGCAAAGTGGTTGGATAGGGTTAACGTCAAAACTGGGAAAACCATTTCCTTATGGACCTGTTTTTGTGCACTGTGGAAAGGGCATTCCTCAATATATGTGTACACACACACACACACACACACACACACACACAGATATACATACATACTATGATTTGCAGTAGCAGTTCATTTCAAACAGGAATTATTGAATCCTAAGCTTTCATGTAAAAATGCAAACACATTGATGTAATTGCAGAGATGTTTCAGATTCCCTTGATTTTTAAAAAATCCAATTTATACAGTGATGGTGCTTACTGTTCTACTGACTAAAAAAGAGGACAAGCACAAAGGGGAGAGATCTGCAGACAGCTGCTCTCTAGACTTCATTTAAGGCTCCAAGTCTTCATCGAAGGCAGCAATAATCTCTGTTTTCCTCTTTCTGTCTCTTTCCCACATCTGCTCATCTCTCCCTACCGAAGGACCAAAGGCCAACTTTCTCTCTGTCTGTCTCTCTTCCTCATCTACCCATTTCTCTCTCATTTGCTGCCAGGTGAAATGCATACATGCTCCAACAGTAGAAAAGAGAAACACAGAAGAAATGAACAGATGTTGAAACAGATGGGTGGATGGAAAAGAGGTGTTGAAGGAACAGCAAGACAGACCCGGGATATATTTTTAATAAATATGATCATAGATTATTAATGGATCTCTAGGTTTGTCTCACTATGACATTTGTGGCAACGTAAACAGAAGTTAAATATTAAGCAGAGCAGAGACTGAGAGACTGCAGTTAAGCTGTGGGAGTTATTTTATTTCATAAATTTTTTTCTGTGTCATGTATATTGAATGAGGTGGCATGAAGAAGGATTGATGACAGGCATATTAACAGATACTTAACAAGGATGCACACACTCACGAGTGCATGTAATTGCAATTGTTGTCGATCTCTGATATAATGATTTCCACATGGAAATCATTTTAGTGTGGCATGAGTGAATTTTTATTAAAAAATCTGTTACACCTATGATGAAACATATTTTACCACATTTTGAAGAGCTTCAGACCTAAAAACTATTTTTAATCAGGCTGAAGGACATTTGTGCTCTCTAGTCTGAAACCAAAAGAAGAAATTAAAATCAGATTTATAGCTTGTCTTTCTCATTTTAAAAGAAAGAAAAATACCAAACTATCCCCTGAGTCAATTTGTTTTTAAATAATCCATTTTAAAATGATAGAATTGATATAATTCTGATTTATCCCCCTGACCCTACCCGTTCCAGGATACTTATATTATATATTATATCAAGTAGCAGCACATCTGATTTTACCTCCTGGTAACCAGTAATCAGTAAGCATTAGCATTAGCAGTAAGCTATATTTATAGATAGCAGTTAATTTGCCATCCTAGTTGGAAACAACTCCCCCCACAGACATTATGGCCTTGCCATAAAATAAATGTATGTATCTTGTATCCTTCTACTGTATATTGTACAATAAAGTTCCAATTGTGAGGGAACTTAATTGACTGCTTATTAACTTAAACACATTTTTGGCATGACACAGCTGTTTGTTCAGTGCTGTTACTTTTTTGCTGTCTTGACTGTCACATTTTTTGGTTTAGGAGAATCAGACTATTAAATGAGGCAATAGCTTAAGGGTCACATGGTTTCACTGGTGAAAGAAAACACATTTCTCCGTGTCGAATTTGGATTAGATGAATACTATTTATGGTTATGAACCCTTTGCTGCAGTGTTCACCAGCAGACTGCCAGACCATTTTAGCACCTGCAGTTGTGTAAAGCAGAACTTTTATTGCTGGAGAATGTATAGATTGAGTGCTCGCCTGCTATCTCTTTGGTCACATGAGAATACTTAATATATGGCTTGGCACTGAGGGTTCATGTTTAAAATACCTTCAGATCAAGAAACCTTATCACTCTCAAAACTATGGTGGCAAATCATCGACTCTAGGAATCTAATGGGCGACTTTATTTAAATTATTTCCTTCAAGCATTCAATTTTATTAGGTGGAATATCTAAAATAAAATAAATATGTTCTTTTAATCCCTTGAGCCGAAAAATCAATACTCAACAGCATGGTGGGTCAGTGGTTAGCACTGTTGCCGCACACTGGGGCATCCTCCGGTTTCCCCCACCATCAAAACATGGATGTGAGGTTAATTCTCCAGTCAGTGCCACGGCTGCCCACTGCTCCTAGTACTTATGATGGGTTAAATGCAGAGGACACATTTCACTATGCGTTGTGCTGTGTATGATTGTATATATGATCATGAAATATATTCTATGCTTTGTGACCCCCTTTGATCAGTCCAATAAAATCTCTCTCCTGTTATTAGAGGATTTGTTTGTTTTAGGAGTTTGTTTTCTCTGTGTCCTATTTTATTTGCATTCCCTTATGTATCTCTTTCTTCTTTAGCACGTGTTCTGTCCAAGTGGTGAGATTGTCTTTCTGTATGTTTATTCTAACCACCCTCTTATTACATTGGAATCAGGTATGATAACCCTAGTAGTTATTTTACACACATAACTTGTCACCTGTTTTATTTGTATTTATTTATTTTTTTTAAATAGAGAGACTTGAAGAACACACAAACATATACACACACATGCCAAGCAGTAAGAGATTTTGCAGGCTAGAGACTGCTGAATGTTGTGAAATGGTCACGAAAATAACCTTGATAAACAGTTTTCACAAGCAGTAAACAGGCCCTTCTTCTAATACAAGCGAGTGTGTGGGGTTGGGCGTGTGAGTTTTACACATACATGTCTCTAGAAGTGTGAAAACTTGAATAAGCAGGCAGCATTAGCAGACAAGGAGGAGGATAAGGGGATGGCTGCTATATCTGTTTATCGACTTTGTTTTCTTCCTCCATCCTACCTTTCTCTCTTTCTCTCTGACAGATTCTGTACACGTGCAAAGCCCTGTCATCTGCGACTTGTTTTGTTATAGCTCCAAGGGCTGCATTAGTTTGCTATCTGTGCCATGAACTGTATAGCATCTCTTCCACCCCGGCATAAATAATTTATCCCACCCTGAATCGTGTATTGCAAATTATGCTCGTTTTGATACCGATATCAAAGGAAGCATAGTATGTTGGGTTGCTCAGCTAGCGAGCCTTATACTGATGCCCCCAGGGTGCTTTGTGCTCCGCTCCAGCCTGGGGTTGGATACTGAAGGAAAAAAAGAAACAGCTGGATTTAATGGTAAAAAAGACAGAAATAGTGGAGACAGATGACAGATGGAATAGAAAATGTTGGATGGAAGAATAAAAAAGGATGTTAATTTTGTTTTTGTCTTTGTGCATGAAGAAATGTCTACTTTCCTATTTGCATCTGTTTGGGTGTGTCCGTTGAAAAGTGACTAAATTGTTGCTATCCAAAGAGAGATGGCCAGATGTTCATGTTCACGTTGACAGAATAAGAACAACCTCATGTTTGTAATCACCTTTCTCCTCTTTCTCTCTCTTTGTAGCTCTCACTGTTTCTCATCTTTTTATTTTCAGACACGGCATATGTTCGCGTTTTCATCAGTGACGTGAATGATAACAAGCCGGCTTTTGCACAGGCGTCCTATGAAGTTGATGTGGACGAGGATGCTGATGTTGGCTTCGCCATACTCACTGTCAGTGCCAATGATGGGGACGAAGGTGGGTGGCACGAATAAATGAGTGTGTGTGTGTGTTTCTTTGAATGGTGTGACGTGGATAAAATGGAAAGTGTAGGAGTGATGGCAAGGCTGGTACTGTAGTCATAATTGAGCACATTTACTCAGGCACATTTCTCTTTTCCCTCACTCAAGAAAAAACTTTTCACTTTGCTACTTTTGTCTGACCCTCTTTTACTTTGAGGAAAAAAACAGCTGTGCAATACAAAACATGTCACTCATGAAAAACACAGTAGTATGTGAGTTTGAATCAGCTACTGTAGAAGAGCCCATTTAATATAACCTTTTGCTGTACAGCAAAGAAAGAAGCTCTCAAGTGTTTAAATGTGTATTTTCACCATTTTGGGCTTCAAAACATTTTTCTATTCACTTTGGTCAAACATTTCTTAAAGGTAAGATGTTACACCTGTGTAGCTGTTGAGCAGAAGTTGACTGCAGCTCTGACATGGCTGGTGGTTTTCATTATTTTTCAAACTTGCTATATAATCCATGGAAAATTGGCAACATTTTGAAATGACCAAAGTGTTTTTATCAGGAAGGGAAGCAACCCTTACCTCATGATACGATATTACAGGAGACAAATTATTACTGAAAATGAACATATTTTATATTATATTTTCTTTTTTCTAAAATCTGAGGTAGGATATAAACTGGACAAAACAATGCATTTCCTTTTCTTTATAAAAGTGAAAATAATGTCTTTGTGCCCTGATACATCTACTGACTCGAATGACGTAGGACATCACACGTCAAAAGTAGACTGTTTGAAATTAGTCTCATAATTCATTTTTTATTTCACAGATTTGAATCTTTACATATTTGTATCTCGATTTGACTGTCTCACAATATACGGTGAACAGGTAGTATAGACTGGATTTAATCAGAGCATTTTAGCTGGGAACAGCTGCTTTGACTGCTAAGACTGAAAATACAGTCACCTTAAAGGTGCCATATGGCCTTTTCTTGTTAGCAATCAGTTTGTATTTGTTTTCAGTGTTGCTGACCAAAACACATTTTGTGTCCTTGATATCACATAAACACTGTGAATGCATTTCCTTCACCATAAAACATTAGCAAAGCGTTTTTTTTTAATTTATAATAAATCCTGCATTGTTACATCCATGTTTAATAGGTAGCAGTCTTCTTCTGTTCTGCTCTTTTTTGCACGTTGCAGTGTTTATTGACGCATTATAGCTACCTGTTGAATAGTGGAAACCCTGAACATGAATGTTTATAGTGGGTTTTTCGCTAAAGCCGTTGATCTTTTTGGTCTATTTCATAGTCTTCTCTGTGGGTTTGGCTATTATTGTGAGTGACTTCTGACTTCAGGGATGGATGATCACAAATCCCTCTGTCTTAGAACATAGAAAGAAGCAACTAAATGATACCTAATATTAGTATTTTGAATTAAACTGATAGTATTTGAAATTGTATCTTGCTGTATTTTATGGTTTTATATGGTGCAATAATACTGTCATTGTTATGCAACATATTTTAAAAGGCTTGGCTTATCTGCAGCTTACTGTGTAAACAGGAAGCCTATAGATCATAGACAAGATGATCACAAGCAACAGCCACGGCTCCAGAATGCGACTAGGTACATTTTGTGACTATTTTTAGAGATGACACGACTAACATTGGACTTGCAAATATGCTCCCGTTTAATATATGACTTTAATTTTTTGGAGTGAAAGAGAAATACAGGCTTGTCTGTGTGTGTCAGTATGAAGAAGACAGAGTAACATCAGAGAAGCTCTGAATAGCTTAAAGCATCTATAAGCTTTCTATTTGTGTCCTATGATGATTGGTTTTGTTGGTAATTGTTTCAGTCAGACACTTACTTTTTTTTATTAAAAAAAATAAAGAGTTAAGATTTCTGATGAGGAGTAAAGTTCAAGTGAAGATTTAGTTTCAGATGATTCTGTGAAAAAAGCCAAAGATATTACTCTTCCAAAAGCTTGTTTTCCATCAGTCAGTGTGCTACCTTAATTAACTTTAACTGCACCTTTAGTGCAGGCTGAATTGGTAGAAATGTTTAACTTACACTGTCAGATACTTTGAACACCTTGCACCTTTTTAAGTTGGATCAAATGGTACATATCTGCGGTCCATTATGTGCCTGTTACAGTTCACCTGTGAAAATTGTACTCTAGATTCCGAAGCAATCCCTCTGTGTAAACAAGAGAAAGAAATTAAGAGTCAGTGTTGGATTGAGAAGTGTACCCGCACAATTGAATTTCACTCAGGAAGAGTCTGGGACCACTCCCAGACTCACTCCAATTCACGTATTTATTACTGCAATTGTTCAGCCTGTCCAAACAAATTCTACTTGTGAGTAGAGTTTGAAAGCCAGCGCCAATCAGTATTAGGACTCATAAAGGTCTCATTATCTCTTATTTTTTTCTATAATTCAAAACGAAGACTCCGAGATCTCTCTAAATTTCAACTCATTACACTCTCCCCAGATTGATAAGTACCGACACTCGGTGCTGATATGAGTCCAGTGTGAGGTGAGTTGGATTGGAAACACAGAAGAAAGAAAATGCTCAAAGTAATAAAAGAGAGAGAGCGAGTTAGAGTAT